AATTAATGTAACAACAGATGTGTAGGATGAAATTTAGGAAGAGAAGGTAGGGATAAGCAGAAGAGAGACAAGTCTGGAAGCAGTCGATACATAGGAAAAACTAGGACCAGAGGAAACAGAGAAAAAAGACATCATAGAAGAAGCAATACAGGAGTTGGGGGCCCAAATCAACAGAAGCCATTGAAGATTTTGGCTGCCTGAGGGGAGAACGGACCTTTACACGTGGTGGGAACTTCTGAGACAGAGAGTTGGAGAAAGGGCAGAGGTACTGCATTTCAGGTTCAGGAGTGGGATTTGGCCAGGAGTTTGTCATGTCAAGGAGCTGGAAATGCTAAACTCAGCTGTGGTGGATTGACAACTGTGTCAGCTTGTAACCCCCAGCTGAGCTCAGCCAGCGTGGTGCTGGGTATGCGAGCCCACCTGCAGATGGTCGCCAGCAGCACAAGAGGCGGACATGGAGAAGAAGCTGATACTGTTGGGAGCTGAGAGAAGCAGTTGGGTGGTGGTAGAAGCTGTAATGAGCTGTTGGTTCTCTCGGAGGAGCTTGTCATGCTGGCTTTCCTAGTGAACTCGGCTGTTCTCATCATCCAAGGAGCTTGGGACCTTGTTGTCGGTGAGAATGGCTTTGGTTCACTTTGGGAGAGCTCTAGTCCTCACTTGGAGCTTCCTGGCTCCAGAGGGGAAGATGGTGCACTGCTCAGTCTCCTGGAGAAGTTTGCTGCATTGGCTTTCCTGACAGGAACTCAGTTTTCCTCATCATCGGAGGAGCTCAGGACCTCACTGTTGCTGAGGATGACTGGTACTTTTTGGGGGAGCTCTGGTTCTTACTTTGAGTGTCATTTCCTGGCTCCAGTGTAGATCTCTCAGCCTGCTAGCACAGAGCCTTCATCCTGCCGGCACAGACTTTGTAGATTCCATCACTGACCTTTGGGCCTTCCCAGTGCAGTCTGTAAAACAGGCCTGCATGAGACATTGTTATGGGTTCTAGGTCTTCAGCTGAAGTCATGCAGGATGTTCGGGATCCAGGCCCTCGGCTGGATTCTTTGTGGTCTTTAGTATGTGGACAGATTTCCTGCACTGTCTTGTATATGATTCTTTGGGTGACTGTTACAAATAATCTTATAAAATATGTGTCCTGTATTATTGTTTCTCCTTGCAATAACCCCAGACTACGGCAGTAAGGGTTGGATGTGTAGATTTAGAAGAGTACATTGAAGCCAGGTATACTTGGAATACCTGTGCATACCTGTGGTCCCAGCACTCTGGGAAGCTGAGGGAGGAGGATCGATAGTTGGAGCTCAACCAGGGCAATTTAGTGACTAAGGGATCCTGTCATAACGTGCAGAGAGAGAGAGAGAGATTGGAAGAGAGAGAGATTGGAAGCCACCGGGGCTGTTGACAGAGTTGCCAAGGATGAGATAACGTGTCAGTGTCAGGACTCAAATTCTTGATCTCTTAACTTTTTGTTCAGTTTTTTCCTCCTTGCCTCACACTGCCGCCACATGGACGCTTAGTCACATTTTGTGTGTACACTGATGAAAGCTAACCCCCTTACTGCTCTAACTCAGTGTGTGGACAGTAATGGGGAACATGATAAAATTTAAAATCCTCTCAGACAAGTGAAAGCAAATATGTATCTTTTCAGCTTTTCCTAGGTGGTATGTTGACCTTTTATCTCCTATCTTTTTTCTTGCCAAAAGACACAATTAAGTGATTTGGCCTTAAAAGTCTTTCTTTATTTTGCTATGCTCAGGCTTAGATTTATAAATAAAAGAAATGGCAAAAATGTCAACATACGCACTAAGTAAAGTCAAGAAAGAAAGGAAGGGAGAGTAAGATTTCTGACCAGCAGTGACATTCAAATAATAGTTATATTTCCAGTTGTTTCAGTTTAGATATGTTACTTGAGGAAAGATCTTGTAAATATTCTGAGTAATGGGGCTACTGAATCCAGTTATCTGTGATGTCCAAAAGTATTTCTTAAGGTGACTATTTATTGTTTGAGGAAGGATTTCATAGGCCAAATGTTTCTGGCATTTATACTTCGCCAAGGAAGAAATGGGAACTTTTGTGTCCTGTATATGCTGGAACAAACAGGTAGATGTTTTGTTCTTTAAAAGATAACAAAGCTTTGTAAATAAGGAGAGGAAGAGGGGTTGAAGGGAGGGGAGGGGAACGGGGAAAGAAAGAGCAATCAAGATGTATCATGTACAGGTACATACTCCCCAGGATGAATGTGGTCGTTATGTATATCTAAATTGTACCAATAAACTTAATTTTAAAAAAGAGAAATTGGGGAAGGTGGATTTTGAGTGTTGGGTAAAACTGGGAGGTTGGTTCTCTGAGCACTAAGGAAGTAAAAAATGCAGCAAACTCCTTGAAAGGGGACACTGTTATGGTTTATATCTAATGTCCCTTGTGGTCCTCATGCGCTCAGAGGTGGGGTGTGTGGAAGGTGATTGGAAAATTGAAAACACGGTGCTCATTGCTGGGGGTGTGGCCTCAAGGATGTGTCTTTCTCCCTGGTTCTTCCTTTTTCACTGCTTCCTGGCCACTGTGAGGTGAGCAGGTCTTCTTCCACCATATCATCCTGCCTGGAGCCAGCCTACCATGCCAGGACTGAGGTTACTGAAACATCAGCTAAAGGACACCTCTCCTTCTTTAGGTTCCTCCTTTCGGTCAGGTATTGTGTCCCAGCAACTAGGAAGGTGACTAAGACAAAGACCAAATCAGAAGCTGGGAGATACTGGATCGTACTGCTAATAGATTATTGTCATTTTGGTTTGGATAATCTTTTGTTGTTGGAGGCGCCATTTGCATTGTAGAACATTTAGCAGCTTCCTTGGCCTCTAACCATGAGATACTAGTGTCAAGACAATAAAAAATGTCTCCAGAATATTGATAAATGTCTCCTCGGGGACAAAATCAATTCCAGTTGAGAGCCACTGTGGTAACTAAGAACCTAGTACTGTATTCAAGCAAGAACATGAAAATCAGTCTACATAGTCTCTGTCTTGGATGTTGTAAGATGTACAGTTAATGAATTTTTTTGCCACTTAAGGGATCAGTTCATTGAACACTGTACTTGGGACAAATTGCATTCTAAATCAGAGTACAAATTGATACAATCATGGGAGCAGTTCACCAATGTAAATCAAAAAGCTGAAAAATATAACAATTCTACATGTAGCAATTATCTACACTAGAGAAACATCTGCCGAAGGACATATGTGCATGGATATTCATAACAGAAGTATTTTGTGATGGGAAACTGGAAATAACATCAGTGACCACCAGTTGGGAAACAAGGTAAATGAAGGTGTATTCACATGATAGCATAAATGTGCAGCAGTGAAAATGAATAAATTAGTACGGATCAGTCTCAAGAAGAGTGGTGATGGACAATAAGGAAATTGAGGAATAACTTTTTCTTACTTCTTCTGTACATGTTTTAGAAAACATCCCATGTAGTGCTACACATGTATAATGTTTACTCAGATTTATGACAGTGTCTGCTTTGTAGGAGGAAGGAATACAGGTGAGTGGAACCAAGGAGGAAACAGTATTAGAGGACCTCAGTTTATTTAATTAATTAGTTTAAAGTCATCAAGTGTATTGCTATAAATGTTAGTTCAGTTTCTGATAGGTACAAGCATGCTGGTTATTCTTCAAGTTGATTTTTTGTACTTTTATTTATCCTTTTTACATAAGATGAGGGAAACATTTTAACATTTGATAGTGTAAGTTGATGTTTTTGATTGCATTGTGAGATATATTGAATTGTACCTTTTCCTGAAATACCTTTCAGCCATGTATTTAATTTCCAGTCATATGTTTGAAGAAAATGACTGTGCTCTGTGCTATTTCCTATTCACATTTCCATGTACTACACCATGGTTTCATGATTCATCTTGCACAAATGTGTAGATCTGGATTCTCACACATTGAAATAAATGCAGCTGTGTTTATTTCAATGCGATTACATTCAAATAAACACACATGCGATCCTTTATGACCGTGAACCCGTAAAACACTTGTTGATTTGGTTCTGAAATTGTATGTTCAAATAAACACACTTGTTTTAAGGGCAGTTTTGCTTTGCTCAAATGTTCATGCCTTGAACATGTGTTTTACAGAGGGCAGATGTGGATTGTCTTAAAAGAATAATAGTTCTTTAGAGTCTGAGTCATTGCTTTAGACAAATGCAAGATTCTTTAATGGGCTGTTTTTTAACATGTTGTAGGTGACCTATGCATACAAATAACCTTTTATGTAAAACAGTATATTATTTGTTTATTTTTGGAATGTTAACTGGCTGAAACAGAATGTTTAACAAGTTAAACGATATGTAAAATGTATTTGTGAATATATTTTAAAGAAATCATAATGATAAAATAAACAAAGAAGCTTTTCCAATTTTGGAAAGTCCTTCTTAATCAGACTTATCAATGTATGTTTTTATACTTCAGATTTTAGAATGAAAACAGAGAAATGTTTCCTCTCAGGAAGGGCACTGTTCACAGTTATATTTGTACAGAAATGAAATGTGTAATCTGAAAAGAAACGTGCTAACATGCTTCGGCTTTCTGTAGGATATTTTAATAAAATAGAATATATCTTTCAAAGTACCCATTTTGAGATTATCCTGCCTTACCAAGTGAACTGGAGACTGTAGCAGTCAGCGGTATTTTTTTTCCCTCCAAAAATATGGGGGAAATTTATATGTGTTATGTTATGAAAATGTTTAGGAAGTAGGCAAGCTGACGCTGCTTGTGACCTGCAAGCCTGAGAGTTACTTTTTTGTCCACTTAAGGTTCTTTGATTCAAAAGTGTTGTTAGGCCCGGAGCCTTAGGCTGTGTAGCTTCTGCCCCCTCTTCTGTGGGAGGAGCTCAGGGCCAGGGTTTCTGTGTGTGGGAAGGGAGGAGGGGGGAAGTTTGTTAATGAAGGAGCATTTTCAGTTTCCTTTACCCAGTTAGGGCCTGAGTGTCTGTGGTCTCAGGGGCCCTTTCCTGCGCCGCTTCTCGAGACCCATGGGATCCGTCCCCCATCTCCGGGGAGCCCAGTGTGGCTTCCTCTCACAGGAGCAGACAGAAGGTAACGTTAGTAAACTGAGTGTTTTCAGCTGGGTGTGGTGGCTCCTTCCTGTAATCCCAGCCCTGGGAGGCACAGGCAAGAGGACTGTGAGTTCAAGGCCAGCCTGGGCTGCATAGGAAGACTCTCTCAGAGCACCAAAAACATTTTTAAAAATTTAATTTTCCTACTTCATCAGTAACCCATGAGCACATTTTTTCTTTGTCAGACACCAATGCATTTCAGAATAAAAATAATACCATTTATTTTCCCTAACATTAACTAATTTCTGAATTTTTAAAAATTTAAAATAAAAAGTACTTTAATTATTTGCTTATTCATGTGTTTATAGACGGCCTGTCCCTCTTGAAAAAAGTTTCATTAAAAAGGCCCTTTGTTTTGGTCATTCTTTATGTCCAGTGCTTTTCCAATTTTGGAAAATTGGAAATTTGGAAAATGCCAACAGGGGTTAGCATATATTACAAGTCAATAAATGTTTGTGAATGAGTGCTGGATGAATAAAAGAATAACGTTTTAATTTTCATTTCCAATTTAATGTTTTGCCACCCATCACAGCTCGAGGCTAGCTGCTTTGTCAGTTAAATCAATCCCCCGCCCCGTGCTGGGACTCGAACTTAGGACCTTGTGCTTGCCTGACAGGCACTTGTGCTGCTGACCCATATCCCCACTCCTATCTTTTTACTCCCCCCAGTCCTATCTTCTAAGACCCTTTCAGTGTGTTTACTTCTATATGTTGCCACAGAAAAAAACAGAGCATACATAATGTTTCCTACGCATTTCTAAAACTTGGTAGTGTCAGACTTTTTAAGTTTTTCTCATCTGATGTGTATAAAATCATATCTTGCTTTGAGTTTTACGTGCTGGTTAATGAGATTGAGCACTCTCTGTTTATTGGCTGAAGTTTTCCCCTGAGATTACCTGCTTAAATCTCTTACCTGATTTACTGTTGACCTTTCCTCTCCGAACTACCTTTTCTTGGTACTGTTTTTGACTGAGGTTTTCGTATAAATCTGTACATTATTTCCCCATATATGTGTGCGTGCATGTAAACATGGCAAATATGTCTCGTTTTATGTTCCTTTTAGATTCTTTCAAGTATCATTTCTCATGCGGACGTAAGTTTGCATGTAGTCGACAATATCAGTCTTTTCCTCTGTGTAGTTGTTGGGTTTTTTCCTGAACTTTAAGAAGGTCTTTCCTACCCCTTTGTCACAGATTTTGAACCTCATGTTTAAGCTCTTTAAAAAAAAATCTATCTGCAGCTACTGTTAGTGTCGGGAAGTAGATGAATGTTCTTACCTCTTCCACCCAGCATACGCAGGGGGTCGCCAGTTGTTCCAGCCCGTTGTGGGGAGCAGTGTCTATGCCTTCTCTAATTTGAAAGGTGTATATCACATACAGATTTTGTTGAGTCAATTTTTAAACTTCTCGGAGGTGTTCTGTCAATCTGCTTTTCTCTTTCTGTGGAAATAGGAGATTGGCGGACCACTTTGTAAATACCTTTTGCTATCTTATAGTACAAATTCCATTCTTACTTCTTTTCAAAATTATTTGGTTACTGAATATTCTTCCAAATGAATGTGGATTCTCCTTTTGCTTTTTATTGGGATTGCATGCAATTAATATATTAATTTTGGGAACGTTGTAGTCTTAAAATACTGTCTTTGCATCTAGACACACTCATTCCCTTTATTCAGACTTTTTCTACCATCCCTCAGGAAATGTTAGGAGGTTTTTTTTTTCCTCCTGCAAGTATTACACACTTTTTCTTGATTTTATTCCACAGTATAATACTGTATGGTTTTTTTGTTAAAATGAATGGGAATTATTTTCAGTCGTTGTGTGTTCATTTATTATTGCAGTGTGTAAAAACTACTTGAGTTTTTAAAAAAAGTATTGATCATAATTTGTATGCCTGAAGCTGAATGTAGTGGCGCATGCCTGTAATCTCAGCACTTGGGAGGCTGAGGCAGGAAGTGCTCAGTGAATTCAAGGTTAGTCTGGGCTACATACCTAGGGAGAGCCTGTCTCAAAAAAAAAAAAAAAATTAGGAATTTTGTATCAACATTTAGTTATGATTGGACAATAATTTTTCCTTACTTTCTTGTTCTAACACAGGGTTGAGTGAACCACAGATTAAAGATTCCTATAATCTCTCTGTGCTATGGAACAGTTTGCTTAAAATGAAAATTAAATTGAATATTCTAAATATTTGTTAGAAGGTCTACAAAACTGCCTCTGGACTTTTGCCTTCTTTTGAGGGTGTAGATCTTTAGTAACTGCTTTATTGTCCCCTAAGGTTGCCATTAAAATTCTACTGAAAGGAAGCAGTGCATCAAATGATATCTTAGAGAACTATTTAAAGCAAACTGTTTAAGCAAACTGTTAATGTAGGTTTTAAGGTCTTTGGTATAAAATTGTTCTTAGTGTTTTCTAATTTCTACTCTTATGTGTCTCTAGTTTTGTTTCTTGTGTATTTATTAAGTTCTTTTACCTCAGTACTGTCCTGTTCCTTTTTTTCTTGTTTTTCCTAGCACTGGGTTTTAAACAAGTCATTGATTTTTAAACTTTTTGAATAGTTCTCTAAGATACCATTTGATGCACTATTTCCTTTCAGTGGAATTTTAATGGCATCTCACAAAGTTTCTTAGATAGTCTATTATCATTCACTTTGAAATATTTAAAAATTTACACTTTGATTTTCTATTTAACCCATATGGTGTTTTGAAGTACGGTTGAAAATTCCCAGGTAAATATACATTGGCTATCATTTTATCATAGATTCTTCATGCTACTGTGTTTAGGTTAGTGACTGTGGGCTGCAGGATACCAGTCCTTAGGAGTTTGATAGCATTTTCCTTGCTGTGTGTTATGTGACCTGTCTCTATATATTACATGTCTTTGAGAAGAGTGCAGTTTCTTTTTATGTGGTGTCCCAAGTGCTTTATACTTATATCTTTAAGGTTAACATTATGTCTGTTACTTTAATTTGAATGTGTTAGTCCTGTTCTTCATAAAATTAGCTTTTCTTTTAACTATTACTTTTGAGAAAGGTATTTTAGAATCTCCCAATCTGGTTATGATTTATCAAGCTATGTATTTCTCTTTGTATATATTTCAAAACCGTATTGGCAAATCGATCAGCGACTATTCTTCACTGATGGACACTTACTCTTTTTAGCAGTGTAAATATTTCCTTATATCTTCTTACGATGTTCTCCTTCATTACTGTTTTCTCTGTTGTCAGTGTTTCTATACCTACTTTCTCTTTCCATTTGCCTGCTGTATAGTTTCACATCCTTGAGTTTTAAACTTTTGCATGTCATTTTGTTTTATCTGTCTTTTAAAATAAAATTCAGTACTGGGGGTTCAGTCAAAGGCCTTATGCATGCTAGACAGGTGCTCTACCACTGGGTGATATCCTCAGCGCTCCCTTTAATTCCTAATTTTTTCCCTTCATTTTGAGACTTATTGTTCCCAAGTTGCCTATGCATATATGTGCTGTGCCCTGGAATTTGATATCCTCCTGCCTCAGCCTCTGGAATAGCTGGGCTTACAAATGTGTGCCAGCATGCCTGGGTTATGTTTTATTTTTTATGGATATAGATATGATGAGGTTTTAATTTTTATCTCTTAAATTAACTGGAGCATGGCTCTGAATAGGTATATTTATATTTATTGTGACTTTAATGTAGTAATTCTTTTATTTTTATGTTCACTTTCAGACTTAGGAATAACGAGGTTTTGTTTTTTACCTTTTAGTTTTGCTGTATATGCTGTTGGTTTAAATAGCGTGCATTTCTTTTCTATTTTATGGTTACCTCTATATTTTAATAAAAGTATTTAAACATGTTTTCCTAACAACGTCTGGAGATAGAGGTGTCTGTAGCTTCTCTGTAAACAGGAGAGGTACTGGAACATGTTCTTAATTTCCTCCATTCTGTAGGTTGGTAAGGACAGCAAATTTACCCTGTATTGTTAAAAGAGGAAGTTTGACATCTTTTTTACCTTGAGAATTTTGAAGATTGTGTTTATCTTTGTTCCTCAGAATTTTCCTTTGATATGTCTTAAATGATTCTGTTTTCAGTTTATTCCAGTTGGCACTCTGGCTTTTTAAAAATGTGAATCATATTCTTCAGTTACATCAAATTCTCAACTATGCTGTTTTTGAATATTGCTTTTCCTCCAGTTTTCATTCTCACCTCTTGGAATTTCTGCCGGGTGAATGGAAGATGGATTTGTCCTATGTTTATCAATGTAACCCCTCCTACCTTTTATTTCTTTAACTTTTCCCATTCTACCGTTTATTTCTTTTTTGCTTTCTTTTGGATTCTGGAGACCTTGGCCAGTTTTCACTCACTAATTCATTCTTCAGGGGTATTCTTTTTTGTTTTTTTTTTTTCTGGTACCGGGAATCGAACTCACAACCTCGCTCTTGCCAGGCAGGCGCTGTGCCGCTGAGCTAAATCCTCAGCCCCTTTCAGGGGTATTCTTTCACTAGCATAGTACCATTCTATTCAGTCTTTCAGTTTAATGTTTCCATTTTCAAACTTTCTAGAGTCTGATTTTGATGGCATAGGTTCTTGTTATATCCACCAGAGGATATGCAGCGTATGTAAAATGTCTGTCTGATGTAAGCTTTTAGACTCTGACAGTCGCACAGAGCTGTGTTCAGATCTTGCTTCATGTCTGCTCACCTGTATTACAGCTGGTTACTTGATGCCTGTGTTTGAGCTTCAGTTTTCTAGCAAAATTTTGGTAAAAGGACCACTCTGCTACACTGTTTTAAGGATGAAATTCCATAATCATGATAATACTTTTCAGATACTATGTCCGTAAACTGGACTGTTACTTTACTCACATATGTTATATGGTTTAACTCGGATAGTCCGTGACTACAGTCCTAAGAATATGTCCTTGACAGTTCCTTGGTATCTTATTCCTTTCAAAGCAGCTAGTTACTGGAACTGATTGTGAAAGAAAACCTTCAGTCACTGGACTTA